CAGTATATGAAGTGAAACTAATTGTTCTTCCCGCTTCATATTTATTATGTACTTCATTTTTCAAACCGTTGTTATGACGTGAACATTTCTGTTACAATGTACTGGTTGTTTTTTGTACGCGTGTTACGCGATTGCTGTTCAACTGACTTAAACCAGGTTCGCATTTGAAGGTTAATGTTAATGTTCTTCAAATATTACATTCATTCATTCATTTATTCATTCATTCATTAATGATTCTTTAAATAGATAATCATTCGTTCTTTTAGTGAACTATTTAAATCCGTGATATTCGTTCGGCGCCAGTAATTTAGAACTTATATTTGTAACAATTATTGGGGACACATTCCAACGTGAATTTATGTGTTACCGATTCCACGTTCCCAAACAACAATTTTAGTTTCACTGACGTTTTTATAGTATTAACTTTATATACATACATTTTATATATTGCTACATCAAAATAGCTATCATCATTTATATACAGGGTGACTGGTGAATTACTATCAATATTTAAGGAGAATACTCGGTACATGATTCTCATTCGAATTATGTAAAAAAAATAGGTACTTAATTTTTGACCAAATTTCCGTATAAATAAATAAAATGTGGAGACGTTCCAAGTGTTCCAAGTGTGGACGCGTGCGGTTAACTTTAGTTAGAAGTTTATTAATATTTATGTTATATTAATTATTATTTTGTCATATATGATCGTCAAATATCACGTCCTCAAGTATCGATAGTAATTCACCAGTCACCCTGTTTAATATGCGAAAATATTTCTATGACTTAATCTTCTAGGTGACTGACCGAATATGAAAATATAAATAAATTATTTCTGTTTCTTATTTTACTTTCAATACATCGTTTTAGAGGAATTTCGTCAACTATTTGAATATTTCAAACGAGGATAGACAGGGAACATGTTTAGTATTGATCCGGACAAACGTACATTCCCTCATATGAACATACCTGAACTTATATGAACATATTTGAATATGAAACTAATATTTTCGGATAACTACCAGTACTTTATTAATTACATACTCTCAAAGTTTCGGTTACTTTGCAGCAACCGTGATTGCTCGTCTAGATGATCTAATATGTAATCCGTAAATATTAGTTTCATTTAAATGAATAATCTTATATCTCATTATATTCTATCATAAGAATTAATGCTTTTTAAACATCCTTTATTTACGTAAAAAGTATCCTTTATTTACGTAAAACTATAAACCCTTAATCTATTTTTGAGTTCAAAAAATCCTAATAAAGTCACTAGTAAGAGCTAGTACGAAATATATAGGTTTTTTTTAAATAAAATATATTTAATTCTATGAATAATCTAAGCTTGTTTCACACTGTTCTAATGATTTTCAGTCCAGAATATTTTTTTGTCACGTCGTTAGTGGCAACATCTATTCCAGGCGCTTGACAGAGTTATTACGAAAAAAAATGTTAACAAAAATTATAGAACATTCAATTTTTGAATACAGACATATTGGTGTTATATTAGTAGATGACAAAAAATATATTTGACTTTATTATAACATTTGTATAAGTACTTAATTTTTTTTATTATAAATAATACTTTTTACCTAATAACTACATTCCTACTAATATTATAAATGCAAAAGTAACTCTGTCTGTCTGTCTGTTACGCTTTCACGCCTAAACCACTGAACTGATTTTAATGTTATTTGGTACAGAGATGGAGTTGACCTTGAGAAAGAACATAGGATAGTTTTTATCCCAGACTTTTGAAAGGTTCTCGTGGAAACGCGGTATAACTGAACTCCACGCGGGCGAAGCTGCGGGCGGAAAGCTAGCATAATATAAACGTCTTAATAGAAAAGGTTGCTTGTAAATAATGTTTTTATGATCTAGGTATAGCCATCTGTTAGAAATCAAAATTTGTTTTAAATTTTATAGTAAAAGTCTGTAACAAACAAATATATATATATATATATATACATATATATATTGCTCAAGTTATTCACTAATAAAACATTAAAAATTCTATAACTTACTACATATATACTATATATTACAATATATGTACACTCCCCAAACTAGTTTTCATGAATAGCTATTCAATAACTTGTTAAAAGACAAAGTTATTTTCACATCGCATTAAATGTACGACGGCTGATATATTTCTTCTTAACTATTATTCTATTTTGAGACAGACGACATAACTCATCTCAGAAATATTTTGATAAAAAAAAGGCTAGATATTATTAGGAATTTTTTTATACGAGAAATTGATTCATGAACTAGATAAATTATTATCAAAAATTTTTCGAAAATCATCAGTAGCTTACCTTTAACTTGGGTTTACAAAAATAAGTAGAAATAATAAAATTAAGCTAGATTTTATTAAAATCTTTTTTTAGAAAAAAACCCGTAATATGAGTTTACACTGTCAACCTAATAAAAAAACTCCAAATTGCCGGTAATTTTAACAACGCGAACAAGTGGTATGGCTCATCATAATAAGAAGAGCTAATTGTAAATATAAATAAATTTTGTATTTATAAACACACATTCTTTTATCAGTCAATTATTCATTGTTTCACTCGCTGTTGATATGACTAAGTCTTTGTATCGTCAGTTTAAATTCAAATAAAATGTAGATATAAAACTTTGTTATAACACTATTCCCAAATAGGATTGATGTCAGGCAGGCGTCCGTAAAAACCAATTAGCCAAAACTATTCACAACATGAAGGCAGACAATGGCTAAAGCTGGGAAATTGGAAAGAATAAGATCTAGATTATAATACTATAGGAAAAATATAGTTAACTTTGCTTCGATTTGAGTGACATTAAATTGTAACTACAATATATAACAAACACTCGCCGGTCGTAAGACGCCAAGATTGACATACGAAGGCTGTCTGGAGCTGCATGATAAATCCAGCCAGCTTTAATACACGCCCTAATAAACATAAATATTTATAGTTTAAACTAATATATGAATATATTTACACTCATTTTAAGAGCTTTCTTTGTATCTTAGTACCATAATCGTTACGATAAAATTTAACGTTTAAATATTTTTTCTTTCTGAACATATAAATCTCTTACTATTATATTTGAGTTAAATTTCTATATAAAATTATCAGTTTTATTGATAAAAAAACTATTAAATACGCAAATAAAAATCGAGTGAAGTCGCGCTCCGGTATAAGTTATTTTTATATGTACTTGATTTATTTAAATTCATGAAATCACATTGATGTCTGCTCCGCAGATGTCTGATACGACCGACAGTAAGATTTAAATGATCCATTACTCACAGTAAAGAACACTTTCCATAATACACTAATAATAAAATTAAACATTTATAAATCTATATTACAATTGTAATCTGTAACAATATTTTAAACTCGGCTTTGACAAACAGAAGTTCTTGTAAAAACATGAATATTAATACCAATTGCCTGTCTTAATACTATTAATGAAATAGGAGAAGTCTTCTATAAAAAGAAATGTTTTTATTGATACACAGACAAAACAAACAAAGTATTACCTTCCCAGTTCCCGTAATGAGATTTTTAATGCATATATACATGTTAGAAAGTTGTGGAGGTAAAAAGTGTCATATTCATTAAACGAAGACATTGATTACCTGTCTAAGTCAGGAAATTGTGAAAACCTGATTAAAGAAGTACTTCTAATAAAAGCCTCGAAAATGTATTATTCATAAAATACAAAGAAATGAAACATATTCATTGAATGACATCACTAGGGTGTTTACGTTTAAGCCGGGGCTCGCCGCTCGGTTAATATATTTGGAAAGAAGGGATAATATAAGTCTGTTCCAGATTAGACTCATCCTTGACTCCGACCTTTGGCACGCCGATCACCGTCTAATGGAACGAATCATGCCAAGCCCATACTGCCATTTACTTCGAATCCGTTTAGAGCAGTATGGAGATACCTTTATACCTTACGATAGCAGCCGTTCTAATGGAATGTAAACATAATGTACAAGACATCGGTTATGTTTCATCACAAACTAAGCGTTACTTTCAAAGCCCTTTCCTTGCTTCAATATTTTCAACGATCTAAAGATGATATTCCTAGAACTGTTTAAACAATGAACGGTAAATCGCGTAATAAAAAAAGTAATTTGCAAATTTTTATTTACATCTGAAATAATCAACCCAGTTTCTTTTTAGTGAGTATATTGTTTTTCGAACAACATGTTTTCTTTTACTTTGTTACTTACACAGGAATAGATTGGAGAAATTATAAATCGAATAAATAGGCTGTTATTGAATTCTTAACTGAACTATACATGACTTAGGGCTTCATTTCAAAAATTATCCAGTAGAATTAATAAAAATAATTGCATAATGTTAAATTTTTTGTCATTAAATTCTAATACGATGTCTCATTAAAGCTTTAACATAAAAAAGCCTCTGTAAACAATATCATAGCGTTCACTGGTTTCCTCAATTTATTGGTACGACCGAACTAAATGTTTTTGTGGGGCATTAAATTCAGAATCGGTAGGTCGTTACTTTGTTAACGGGCGATCTAATGAGCACATGGCATTTTATATTGGTGACTCGTAAACATGAAAAGGAACAATGCTAATTGTAGATAGATAATTCTATACTATAATTTCATACATCTCCGTCTGTTGTTTTATGTTTGTCCCTAAATTAGCTCTATCTATTTCTAGCAAAGAACTACGTATTGTAATTACGTGTTGTCATTTATTACGTGGATGTATAGAAATAGGTATGCAGTATGTAGCACGTAGGTGTAATGTAGAAGTGAAACGATAATTGCGAACACGGTGGATCACATTGTGGCAATAATTTTTATGGCCATGATTTATTTTTGAGACGAATTCTCAAATCAAAGCACAAGAAACGAATACATGGACTTAAATAGCTCCACTTTGAAGCATAGATTTCTTTTCAATTAATTTTATAACTGATCTCCATGGGGATATTATTGTAGGTGTTGGTTTATCGCTTACTCACCGTAGTACCATTTCCAAGACATCTTCCCGGTTGAAAACTTTGCAGTACAGGTGTAGTATCTTAAGACAGGTATACTTTATGCCTGTCCAAGTCAGGTCTTCGGACTTCAAGGCTTCGTCCCAGGGGCAGTGCTCGTGTCTTGACAGACAAAGCATGCCGTCGTGCGCTGTTTCCGTTGGAGGCATTTAATCTTTGGTATTTCTCCAGGAACTTTTGGTTCATCAGCCTTTCACTGTTCGAGATGATTCATTATTTTCAAGGGAAGGATGACCTCAATACAAAATTTTTGCCATAGCTACATATTTATCGATGACGAAGAAACATTAAACCACACAATGCGTGTATTTGAGTAACATTTTAAATAATTTTCATTAACGAATTCCGAAGATAAAATAGAGTGTACAAGCTAATAGTCGTAAAACTTAAATTTTCTATGCGGGAGAATATCAAGAGACTAATTTACATTTGTTATATTGGCTTATCTTTAAGGCAGCAATGCCACAACAAGGTCGACTCTATGTTTGGACTGACGAAAAAGAGGATTACTGATGAGGTCACGCTTCATATAATGTTCATAGTATCAAATGCGAGGATTTGTAAATAAAATACGAGAAACTGTCTGTATTTAGTTTAACGACACAAACTCATGGTAAAGGAGAAAATTGAATGTAATGAATATTGTTCGCATATATTCATACTACAAATTCGACGTAAATTATAAAATATTTAAATAAAATTACAAACACTTAAACTACAAAAACCGTCTGATATGGGACTAATGTATAAAATATTTAAAGTAAAATAAAATTATATTAAGAGAAAATTATAATTTGGTTCTTTCTACCAAGTACTATTAATGGATTATACATTTCTAAATTATTTATATGTATATACTATATATACATATGGAGAGGTATTTGAAACATCAGTTAGGATTACGGAAAAACATTAGAAATAACAAGAAGCTTATAATCCCATTACCCTAATTTTAAACTCTTTTAGTTCTTCCAGGTTTATATAAGTTATAAGTATGTCATCTTTTATTATTTACTAAACCAGATACACTTTACTTATGATTAGCCTCATACATTTTAATTACTCTTTATTTGTATGTTACTTAATGTCGATTTAACTTTATAGGTCAGTGGTAAATATGAGATCCTATACATTATATAACATAGATATATATGTATGGATATATTACAATAAATAATCTTTTTTGGAAGGTATGTGAAGTCTTTAAAACATTATGTAATGCACGAGAAAATTCTTGATATCTTTACTAAGTCTAAATGATAATAGTTGTAAAGGTTGTATATATTTAGTATATTTAACAACTAGGTCATTGTTAAACGAAGGAAGTGTTTATGATTCGTACAATAAGAATACGACAAACGAACGTCGGTACAGTTAACTGTCGGAAGTTCTAATTTGAACAATTCAATTGACGACTTAAGTCTGTTTCACACTACAGATACCCATTCTTAGTCGTAGATTTAAACTTAACTTTTAATAAGAATACTTAAAAATAAGCAGTTCAACACTGATTAATTTTGTCAGTTTTGATTCATAAAATCAAAGTCTAATATGTATTAATACAAATAGTATTGTTTATTAGATGCAATAGTACAACATATAATGCCGACAATCATGTAGGACAATGTCGTGTGAACCAGGTCTAAGTATTGTCTAAGTATTTGAGCCAGTTATGGAGAGCACTAAGTATATTTATATATAATGACATTAAAATATATATATTGCACTAATAAAAAATTAGATCAACAATAGAATTACGTGAAAGATAAACTGTCATTTAAAGTTTGGTAATCGAAAATATGTAGACTTAACCACTTTCTCCTGCAATTATATTAATATACTAGCTGACCCGGCAGACTTCGTACTGCCTCAATCAAGAAATAAATTATTTCTTAATTATTTTTTTGGAGTTTACCTTTAAGCCATAAGTCTCCGTGTTCTAAAGTGCGACAGAATGATAGACATATTAGTTAGTTGTCAAATCTAATGTCAAAAAAACGTTTGTATGGGAAATAGAAAAGGGCTTTTTTTATGGTTTTCCCGGTAATGAATCAATTTTTTTCATCTTTTATACCTTCCCTGAACCTTCACAAACATTTCAAGACTAAGATAAGATAAATCCGTTCAGCTGTTCTCGAGTTTTAGCGAGACTAAGGAACAGCAATCCATTTTTATATATATAGAAGATTATAATAAAAAAATAGTTATAAAATTCACATACAAAAAATTTACTTGTTAAATATTTTTCTCATTTATGAAACTATTAAATATTTCCTTAAATAGTTACTTCGAGAGAATGCCCTTAAATCACTCTTGACTCATAAATAAATTTTTGGTTAATTATATTTTGCATTATGTATATTTGTAAATTGAATTAGGTTTAGTGCACACAAAAAACCATCCAGCATTGAGAAATGTACATGTAGATGATCCTTTTAAGGATAAATAAATGTGTATAAGGCATAACTACAAATTTATTAATGAAATGACTTATTGGCTCCCATTACGGTAATATGAAGTCGCTTTAAGAACTAACGAGAATATTTACATGAAAAATAGAAAAAAATACATTATTATTTATTATGATTCTATAATAATATTGATTAAGAACTATAATCTGTTACACCATAAAAACACAATGAATAGAATGATGTAAGAAAACTATTCATATACTTAGCTTTAATGAGATTTATTTTGTAACGCTATTATTTTTTTAGTCGTTTTTTTGCTAAACATAACTCTATTAACTTGTAAAGAACAATTAAACAACAAATGTATCTTCAATACACTTAGAGGGAGGTAACTCCATACACAAATCGTGACGCATCATAGTATTAACGCATTTAGTTGAGTGAGAAACGGGAGAATATGCAAATTTTATCAAGCATACGTTGATTTGATTGCATTACACCTCCTCTTTTGATGTCGGTTAAAATTAACGAAGTTATCACAAACGTATACAGTCTTATCAGAGTACACAATTAGTGGACTTGTGTCACTTACCTTACAAGTCATTATTCTATTTGAGGTCTAACGTACTCAAAAATAAGATAGTGATTTAATATGTGCATTTTATTAATTTTATTTTGTAATTTATTTACTAACAAGGTAATAAAGAGAACTGTTTTATTAATATATTATTAATAAATTAATAGTACTTTAAAGTCAAATTCGTTATTTCTATTTGACATTTACTCACTCCATCGGAAGTTATGCTTAAAAGAGGTTTATCAAATACATACATGAAAACAAATTACTATAAGTTGTCGAAGAGATTGAAAATATATATTTTAATTTTTTTTGAACTCTAAAACCTCTTTATAGTATTACAGTATAATTAATAACTAAAGAAGTTTTATCTTAATATATTAATAAGATCCTTAAATTAATTTCAAGACACATTTCTTCATTCACTTAATATTTTCGATGACGTCACTCATATTGTAAACCTCCGCTGGATTCAAGATCAATACCTAAGAATAATACCTTTACATAAAACGTTCGTAAATATCCTAAAGACGCCATAAAACATATTTATGAGAATCGTTCTCCTTTTATTATACTAGACAAATCAGCGACGGTATCAAAATAGACATACATATATGAATCTAAATCGTGACATGATCTAAGCCACTATGGATTTTTCCTATTAATAAAAATATATTAGATAACTAGCTTTTTACAATAGAATCTGTTTATATGCATGATGTTACACGATGTACGGATTAATTATGTAAAAGAATTTAGATTGCTGTACAAGATGTTTAAGTTTTTAATAAAAGTAGCAGATATTATGAAGCATTACGTTATAACAATTTGTTATAACGCCCGCAGCTTCGCCCGCGTGGAGTTCTGTTATATCGCATTTCCAAGAGAACCTTTCAAAAGTCCGGGATAAAAACTGTCCTATGTTCTTTCTCAAGGTTAACTCTATCTCTGTACCAAATTTCGTTAAAATCAGTTCAGTGGTTTAGGCGTGAAAGCGTAACAAACAGACAGACAGACAGAGTTACTTTCGCATTTATAATATTAGTAGGGATGAAGATGGTATCTTCATACTCTTTCAAAAGATTTGGCCCAAATGGTCGACAGTAAGGTACAATTGAAGAAATAAGTACTAATATTATAGTTATATTTAAACATATAAGTTTCTTCTTAGTTTTAAGTGTTCATCTAGGTATCTAGGTCATATAGATCTTTAGCACTTAAAGCAACATAAGGTTTCACATCACGTGAGTGCTGTGTGAGCAATTTCTTTGAGACGTATGATTTATGTTTTTATTAACAGCTGATGTATCTTTGATGACTAAAATCCACATGCGGCTACTTTCGAAATTATTTGTGTGTAATTAATATAACGATTCATTTATAATAGATACACGTATCACATATACCTATTAAGTATGGTATATGTAATCCCGAGTATATAAGATAGAGACTTACTATAGTTTTATACGACCACTTAATAGTAAGTAATGAACATTTTAATTTTTAACCGAAATGAATTCTATATAGAGAAAAGTCAGTGGTGGCCTAGTGGTTAAAAGGCCCGCCTCTCATGCTCGAGGTCGCGGGTTCGATCCTGGCCCTGGCAAGTACCAATGTGATTTTTCCGAGTCATATGTACTTTCTAAGAGTATTTAGACATCACTGGTTAATGCATTCCCAAAGAGGGTTGATGTCAGGCAGGCGGCCGGGCCTAAAAATAATTAGCCAAAACTATTCACAACATGTAAGGCAGACCCTGGCTAAAGCTGGGAAATTGCCAGGTGAAAGAAGAATTCTATATAGAGAAATGTACGTATGTATATACTAACGCTAACACATAATGTAGACATATTATATAAATTGTAATTTACAAATTTCTTACTGTCAGTAGAAAACACATTAGAATTAAAGCTTCAGACATAGATGATTCCGATTCAAAGAACTATTTCCGTATTAATAAATGTCATATTCATCATAAACACATGAAAGAGAAAAAAATGATCAAACGTGTTAATGATATCATTGTTTTGTTGAGATTTAAGTTTGTTTGTTAACTAAATTGATGTATCCGGAGAATATTTATACGATTATATTGAAACATCTGTTCTAACTATTACATTATAAGGAAACGGCCTGTAGGGTTAAAATGTATGAAAAAAAA